GCTGAGTTCCCTGGTCTGTACACCCGCTGTGCCCATTATGAGGGGTTCCCACCATCCCTGTGCTGAGTTCCCGGGTCTGTACACCCGCTGTGCCCATTATGAGGGGTTCCCACCATCCCTGTGCTGAGTTCCCGGGTCTGTACATCTGCTGTGCCCATTATGAGGGGTTCCCACCATCCCTGTGCTGAGTTCCCGGGTCTGTACACCCGTTGTGCCCATTATGAGGGGTTCCCACCATCCCTGTGATGAGTTCCCAGGTCTGTACATCTGCTGTTCCCATTATGAGGAGTTCCCACCATCCCTGTGCTGAGTTCCCAAGTCTGTACACCTGCTGTGCCTATTATGAGGGGTTCTCACCATCCCTGTGCTGAGTTCCTGGGTCTGCACACCTGCTGTGCCCATTATGAGGGGTTCTCACCATCCCTGTGCTGAGTTCCTGGGTCTGCACACCCGCTATGCCCATTATGAGGGGTTTCCATTATCCCTGTGCTGAGTTCCCGGGTCTGTACACCTTCTGTGCCCATTATGAGGGGTTCCCACCATCTTGTGACTTCTATCAGTGTCTAGCAGAGCACCGGTTAAAGCTTGTAGGAGGAGTTTTTTTTTTGCTCTAGGACAGGGGTGGGCAATGTGCGGCTCTCCAGCTGTTGTAGAACCACAAGTCCCATGAGGCATTGCAAAACTGACAGTTACAAGCATTGTAATGTACAGCGCTGAGCGAACTATTGGCGCTTTATGAATACTGTATAATAATAATATAATAATGACTCCCAAAGGTAGTTCGCCAACAGCTGGAGGGCCACAGTTGCCCACCCCTGCTCTAGGAGGATGGAGAACGCCTGACCCTCTGTCTGGACAGTGCAGATTGGCCCTGTGCTGTCACAAGAACTCTCCCCCCCCCTCAAAAAAAAAAACCTTTCTAGCAATACACACCAAACTGAGCATGTGCAGAATTTCTACGGTTCAGTCTGTCTTATCAGGAGATAAGAGTGGACACTGGAAGAAGGGAAGGATCAGAGAAGACAGGATCAAGCAGCCTTTTTACACAATGCAGAGGATTAACCCCTTAGGTCCCCCAGTGAGTATACCCAGCATGCTTTGCTGCATCTACAGACCGATTGTACTGTTGCGGGTTCAGGAACACTTTACGGCTGAGCTCCAAGAAAAGTTCACTTTGTATCAGTTTCAGAATCCCTTCGGCTGACGTGAATGCGACGGCGACGGCGAGCAGCCCGTACAATCTCTCATAGCGATCGGCGTATTAGGAGTGCGATAATTAATAATCCTAACGTCCTCGCCATCTTCTCCAGTTAATTATAAGGCGCCTCGCATTCCTGCCGGCTCATAGATCACAAGTTCACAACGTTCCTTTTTTTTTTTTTTTTTTTTTCTCAAAAAATGCAGAAGAGGGATCTATTAATTTGTTTTATTGTTAAAAGATGTTTGCTAACAGCCGCCAGTATAAACTCGCCGCTCATCGATGGACGGGCTGGAGACTTATTTTATTTTTTTTTACTTCCTTTTATTGGTGGTGACAACCTCAGAGGACAGACACGCTCTTAAAGTGACACAGCCCCTAAATGATCTTTTATTATTTATTTGACTAAATAACTTACTGGTGATGTCATCACTGGGTCTCTAGTTATGTATTTCAGGTACTTATATATCACCATCAATTTACGCAGCGCTTTACATATATATTGTACATTCACATCAGTCCCCGCCCCCGAGGAGCGTACAACCTAAGGTCCCTAACTCACATTCATACATACACATACTAGGGACAATCTAGACAGGAGCCAATTAACCTACCAGCATGTCTTTGGAGTGTGGGAGGAAACTGGAGTAACTGGAGTAAACCCACGCAGGCACAGGGAGAACATGCAAACTCACGGCAGGAGGTGCCGTGGTTGGGATTCGAAGCAATGACCCCAGTACTGCCAGGTGGAAGAGCTAACCATTTAGCCACTGTGCTGCCCATAGGATCTCTATGCTTCTCATATGCAATGCAGGCAGACCATGGCTGGTGGGAGGGGCCAGCAAGGTGCTGTACATAAACTTCCTGAAAGCATCACAGCACTCTGCTTCAGTGCCCTTCTCAAGAGCCCTCCTGAGTCCTGATGCAAGTAGTGGGCTGGCTTTTGGGAGGAATTATGCAAATATCAATAATGGCTTGATGGGTGGATGTCAGTCTGCAGCAGGGGCAAACTGACCATTTAGCCACTCGGGCACTGTCCGAGGGCCCGGGTCAGTAGGGGGCCCCATGAGATGTCCCTGGTACCTTTCATAGGCTTTTTTGGGTGTGGGTTTGAGTGTGGGCGAGGACCTAGGCCCCATGATTTCCTATTGATCACGAGACACCCACCGCACACTGATCAGGGCAATGAATTGTGGAAATGGATGGGAATGATGGAATATCGGTGTCACTGGAGGGCGACCGCCGCGCATCTGTACATCTGTATGTAGTCCGAAGGTGAGCCTGAATCCTGGGTGATGGCGGATTCTCAGTATCTGTACGGACTCTGCACAGTCCCACTTCTCCTGTCCTGGAAGCCGGGTGTCATTCCTGGTATCTGTCCTTATTCTGTATATATGGACTCTGCACAGTCCCACTTCTCCTGTCCTGGATTCCGGGTGTCATTCTTGGTATCTGTCCTTATTCTGTATGGATGGACTCTGCACAGTCCCGCTTCTCCTGTCCTGGATGCCGGGTGTCATTCTCGGTATCTGTCCCTATTCTGTATGGATGGACTCTGCACATTCCCACTTCTCCTGTCCTGGATGCCGGGTGTCATTCCTGGTATCTCCTCTTATTCTGTATGTATGGACTCTGCACAGTCCCACTTCTTCTGTCCTGGATGCAGGGTGTCATTCTTAATATCTGTCCTTATTCTGTATATATGGACTCTGCACAGTCCCACTTCTCCTGTCCTGGATGCAGGGTGTCATTCTTGGTATCTGTCCTTATTCTGTATGGATGGACTCTGCACAGTCCCGCTTCTCCTGTCCTGGATGCCGGGTGTCATTCTCGGTATCTGTCCTTATTCTGTATGGATGGACTCTGCACAGTCCCGCTTCTTCTGTCCTGGATGCCGGGTGTCATTCTCGGTATCTGTCCTTATTCTGTATGGATGGACTCTGCACAGTCCCACTTCTCCTGTCCTGGATGCCGGGTGTCATTCTCGGTATCTGTCCTTATTCTGTATGGATGGACTCTGCACAGTCCCACTTCTCCTGTCCTGGATGCCGGGTGTCATTCTCGGTATCTGTCACTATTCTGTATGGATGGACTCTGCACAGTCCCACTTCTCCTGTCCTGGATGCCGGGTGTCATTCTTGGTATCTGTCCTTATTCTGTATGGATGGACTCTGCACAGTCCCGCTTCTTCTGTCCTGGATGCCGGGTGTCATTCTCGGTATCTGTCCTTATTCTGTATGGATGGACTCTGCACAGTCCCGCTTCTCCTGTCCTGGATGCCGGGTGTCATTCTTGGTATCTGTCCTTATTCTGTATGGATGGACTCTGCACAGTCCCGCTTCTCCTGTCCTGGATGCCGGATGTCATTCTCAGTATCTGTCCCTATTCTGTATGGATGGACTCTGCACAGTTCCACTTCTCCTGTCCTGGATGCCGGGTGTCATTCACGGTATCTGTCCTTATTCTGTATGGATGGACTCTGCACAGTCCCACTTCTCCTGTCCTGGATTCCGGGTGTCATTCTTGGTATCTGTCCTTATTCTGTATGGATGGACTCTGCACAGTCCCGCTTCTTCTGTCCTGGATGCCGGGTGTCATTCTCGGTATCTGTCCTTATTCTGTATGGATGGACTCTGCACAGTCCCACTTCTCCTGTCCTGGATGCCGGGTGTCATTCTCGGTATCTGTCCCTATTCTGTATGGATGGACTCTGCACAGTCCCACTTCTCCTGTCCTGCATGCCGGGTGTCATTCTCGGTATCTGTCCTTATTCTGTATGGATGGACTCTGCACAGTCCCACTTCTCCTGTCCTGGATGCCGGGTATCATTCCCGGTATCTGTCCTTATTCTGTATGTAAGGGCTCTGCACAGTCCCACTTCTCCTGTCCTGGATGCCGGGTGGAATTCTCGGTATCTGTTCTATAGAGCGGCTCTATTCTGGCACTCCAGTAGAAATGGCGGTTTGTCGGCGGACATGCCGCGTCTGGCGGATCTCTCCAGGAATGGCAGCAGGTTAGCGCTGAGCCCGGCTCACATCTGTTCATCTCTTCATTAAATTGTCAGGCTAATTGTTTTCCTTGTCTGCGCAGCAGATTCGCCTCCTCTGGGGAAACGGAAACAAGTGCGCCGGTTCAGGCAGAGACGTTTTATGAGATAAGAGATATGGAGGGAGCAGATAAGAGTCGGTGCTCCGCTGAAGAGATGCCAGGTCCCCCGGGGGAGGGGCACTCCGCACACATCTATCCTGGGGGCTCCACATTACAGGCCTGCTAATGTCATCCGCCGCCATCCACGGCACACTCCATACCTCGGGGACCGTCCTCGGAATTGTATAAAGCACGATCCACCTCCACAGTTCATTCCTGATGTGTGTTTTGAGGCATCATTATCTGGTTGTATCACCTTCACCTAAAGAGTATGTCCAAAGGTCAGCCTATCATTCATGGCCAATGTCAGGCTTGGAGACCAGTAGGTCCTATGTATCCTTGGTATCCAGTAGGTCCTATGTATCCTTGGTATCCAGTAGGTCCTATGTATCCTTGGTATCTAGTAGGTCCTATGTATCTTTGGTATCCAGTAGGTCCTATGTATCCTTGGTATCCAGTAGGTCCTATGTATCCTTGGTGTCCAGTAGGTCCTATGTATCTTTGGTATCCAGTAGGTCCTATGTATCCTTGGTATCCTGTAGGTCCTATGTATCCTTGGTATCCAGTAGGTCCTATGTATCCTTGGTATCTAGTAGGTCCTATGTATCCTTGGTATCCAGTAGGTCCTATGTATCCTTGGTATCCTGTAGGTCCTATGTATCCTTGGTGTCCAGTAGGTCCTATGTATCCTTGGTATCCTGTAGGTCCTATGTATCCTTGGTGTCCAGTAGGTCCTATGTATCCTTGGTATCCAGTAGGTCCTATATATCCTTGGTATCCAGTAGGTCCTATGTATCCTTGGTATCCAGTAGGTCCTATGTATCCTGTAGGTCCTATGTATCCTTGGTATCCAGTAGGTCCTATGTAAGGATGAAGGAACAGGGAGTGGTGACAAAAGTGACTATGGTTTGGCTATAGTGTCTCTAAAGCATTGGTGATCCTGGAGTATCTTCTTGATGTCTCAGGCAGTTTATCTGACCAGGTCCAGCAGTAAACTCCAGGATGGTACTCCAGAATCACCAATGTTTCAGAGACATTATGGCCACCTTTTCCAAGCTGACAGACATCGTCTGGCCATAGTGTCTCCAAAACATTGGTGGTGACATTGACGTCTTCTGTGTGCTAAATATAATGTTATTGCAATTAAGACCTCAGTAAAGATTTGAGGTCTTTACCTTTTGGTGTGCCAGATGTTTTTGTTTCTTGGGTTTTACAGTATCGCCGTTGGCCATGTACCCTCCTAAAGGTGTTTAAAGGTACAGAGCAACATGGATTTTTGTTTAGATACTTCGGGATGGTGACCAGACAGACAGAAGCTTTGGCCCTCATTTACTCCCTGAAGCAGACAGTGAATAGGACCAACTGGAAGAGCCAACCAGACCAGGATGATTGAGTCTTGGCCTTAACCCAAACCTTTCCACCTTGTTTCCAGACTTTTGGTGTGCCAGACATTTTTGTTTCTTGGGTTTTACAGTATCGCCGTTGGCCATGTACCCTCCTAAACGCATTTAAAGGTACAGAGCAGGATGGATTTTTGGTTAGATACTTCGGGATGGTGACCAGATAGACAGAAGCTTTGGCCCTCACTTGCTCCCTGAAGCAGATGGTGAAAACAACCAACTGGAAGCGCCAACCAGACCAGGATGATTGGGTCTTGGCCTTAACCCAAACCTTTCTGCCTTGTTTCCAGACTTTTGGTGTACCAGACGTTTTTGTTTCTTGGGTTTTGCAGTATCGCCGTTGGCCATGTACCCTCCTAAAGGTGTTTAAAGGTACAGAGCAGGATAGATTTTTGGTTAGATACTTTGGGATGGTGATCAGATAGACAGAAGCTTTGGCCCTCACTTGCTCCCTGAAGCAGATGGTGAATACGACCAACTGGAAGCGCCAACCAGACCAGGATGATTGGGTCTTGGCCTTAACCCAAACCTTTCCGTCTTGTTTCCAGACTTTTGGTGTGCCAGACCCTCCTAAAGGTGTTTAAAGGTACAGAGCAGGATGGATTTTTGTTTAGATACTTCGGGATGGTGACCAGACAGACAGAAGCTTTGGCCCTCACTAGTTCCCTGAAGCAGACGGTGAATACGACCAACTGGAAGCACCAACCAGACCAGGATAATTGTGTCTTGGCCTTAACCCAAACCTTTCCGCCTTGTTCCCAGACACCATCAAAATCTGTCTGTTTCTCAAAGCAAGAAAATCCTTACCTTTCTATTAACCTTTGTGTAAAAAGAGTTAACTTGAGGATGCATCTTAAGAATAATCACATCAGGTGATTGGGGCCCCTCACCAGCGCCCCGGAGGAAGCCCAAGACTCATTTGCCAGTGGCCCTGTTAATGTAGAAGAGCTGCATAGCTGATGTGACTGTCAGATGTGGTATGATTATATCCAGATTCCTATTATTCATGTGTCACAATATGACAGCTGCAATCTCTGATTCTTCCTCTACAACAGCACCGCGTCCCCAATGACAGGAAGATCCTCCGACTGCCGGATGAAGAGAATGGAAAGGTGACATCCATTGCCGGGAAATATTATGATTGCCATTGCCTGTCTGCTGTGGTACATCGAGGTGTTTACTATGAGACCACCGATGTTGTATAGTGAAGATTGTTCATAGTTGCCAGGGATGGGGGAGGAGGTAAGGCTTCCTCTGGATGAAACATATTAGTATTGGGACAGGCTGTACTTGACAAACCCACGTCTTTCATTGAACCTAGTTATGTACCATAATTAACCAAAAACATTTTACCCCGGGTCACATGGAATTCTTGACTCTTCCCTATTCTATCCATCTACGTGAAGCCGAGACTCCATAACTGAAAGAACTGAAATTCAAGAATAAAAAGGGGTGGACCAGGGACTGTCAGACCAGAAAGGAAATGGCTAGATGATGTCCTCCAGCCTGACCTGCTGCAGCTTCTCATGTACACTGTGAGAAGCTCACTGTATACAGTGAAATCAGAATAAGCCATTTCAGTCCAGTAGAGGAGCCAGACGAACGGTGCAAGACTGAAGGGAGGTCAGGTTTGAACCTTAAACAGTAATGTAAATTTTACACCCCACATGAAATCATCGACAGCCAAACGGTATACTATCACAACAACTCCACCATCACAACATCAACGTTTCCATACATCAGAGCCCTCCATGGCCAAGCATCTGCGGGAACAATCACTCTTCTAGTCATGTGACCAAATGCCAAGGCTCCACTCCCTTGACAGCAAGGTTCAAGCCAAGACCCAGCTAGTTGGCACTTCCCAGTTGGTCCATCTGCTCAGGGAGGGGGTGAGGGTCAAAGCTTCAATCTATCTATCCTGAAATATCTGAACCAAAATCCATTCAGCACCACACCTTTAAATGCCTGGAGGGACTTAGAGGTTGGGAGCTGAGGTACCTTAGAGCGCCAAGCAACTCCGATCCTCTTCTTTTGTCCTCCATGCTTTTTTTAAGGAGGATTTGGCCTTTCAGGAACAAGCCATGGAGGGCCATTATGAAAGAAAGATGAATTCTTGTAGCCTCCCCCAATGCTCTCCTACCTGGTGGCAGAATTTGCCTAAGATGGGGTTAAACCATTGAATATACGCTGACCCCTCCGGCACGTAATCAGCACTGCGGTGAAGCTGACTGAGAGGTAATTAGTTTGGCTCTAACGCTGTCCATTTCAATTCTTGCCAGCTTTTGTCTGGCAGAGCCAATCCATAGGTGAGAAAGGAATGGTGGCTTCTTTGTGACAGGACCAAATGGTATACTATCACAACAACTCCACCATCACAACATCAACGTTTCCATCCATCAGAGTCCTCCAAGGCCAAGCATCTGCAGGAACAATCGCTCTCCTAGTCATGTGACCAAATGCCAAGGCTCCACTCCCTTGACAGCAAGGTTCAAGAAAGACCCAGCTAGTTGGCACTTCCCAGTTGGTCCTATTTACCATCTGCTCGGCGAGTGAGTGAGGGTCAAAGCTTCCATCTATCTAGTCACCATCCATGTAGTATCTGAACCAAAATCCATTCAGCACCACACCTTTAAATGCCTGGAAGGACTTAGAGGTTGGGAGCTGAGGTACCTTAGAGCGCCAAGCAACTCCGATCCTCTCCTCTTCTTTTGTCCTCCATGCTTTTTTAAAGGAGGATTTGGCCTTTCGGGAACAAGCCATGGAGGGCCATTATGAAAGAAAGATGAATTCTTGTAGCCTCCCCCAATGCTCTCCTACCTGGTGGCAGAATTTGCCTAAGATGGGGTTAAACCATTGAATATACGCTGACCCCTCCGGCACGTAATCAGCACTGCGGTGAAGCTGACTGAGAGGTAATTAGTTTGGCTCTAACGCTGTCAATTTCAATTCTTGTCAGCTCTTGTCTAGCAGAGCCAATCCATAGGTGAGAAAGGAATGGCGGCTTCTTTGTGACAGGGCCAAATGGTATACTATCACAACAACTCCACCATCACAACATCAACGTTTCCATCCATCAGAGTCCTCCAAGGCCAAGCATCTGCAGGAACAATCGCTCTCCTAGTCATGTGACCAAATGCCAAGGCTCTACTCCCTTGACAGCAAGGTTCAAGCCAAGACCCAGCTAGTTGGCACTTCCCAGTTGGCCATCTGCTCAGGGATCGAGTGAGGATCAAAGCTTCCATCTATCTAGTCGCCATCCTGAAATATCTGAACCAAAATCCATTCAACACCACACCTTTAAATGCCTGGAGGGACTTAGAGGTTGGGAGCTGAGGTACCTTAGAGCGCCAAGCAACTCCGATCCTCTTCTTTTGTCCTCCATGCTTTTTTAAAGGAGGATTTGGCCTTTAGGGAAGAAGCCATGGAGGGCCATTATAAAAGAAAGACAAATTCTTGTACCCTCCCCCAACGCTCTTCTACCTGGTGGCAGAATTTGCCTAAGATGGGGTTAAACCATTGAATATACGCTGACCCCTCCGGCACGTAATCAGCACTGCGGTGAAGCTGACTGAGAGGTAATTAGTTTGGCTCTAACGCTGTCCATTTCAATTCTTGCCAGCTCTTGTCTGGCAGAGCCAATCAATAGGTGAGAAGAGAATGGCGGCTTCTTTGTGACACGGCCCGTGTTTTATGTCAAGATGTGAAGATGGAAAAGCTCAGCTCATCAGCTGTGCCGCGGATGGAAAATCCCGCTGGGGCTCATCACACTGTCACCGAGCTTATTGAGAGAAGCATCAGAGAATGTGGAGAGCCCAATCCTCCAAAGAGGCCCGTCCCTCGAGACCACGGGGCCGAGCTGTGAGAACAGCGTAGACAAACACCGGAGGAGATAATGAGAGGTGTGCCGGCATGGTCTGCCAAAGTTCTCCTGGTTGTCTAGGCTTGAAGTAGACTCACAAAAACCACCGAGGAGATGACAAATAATTGATCACAGAGAAGAAAGGGCTAAATATATTGCGGAAACGTGTACAGGAATCGTTACACGTGCTGGAAGATCTGTAAATGATGCATGATCCTGACTGCCAAAGACAAGGTTAATGCTCTTCTGAAAGATACGGTGTCACTGCCCCCGCCCCTTGTCTGTTCTTTGAGCTACTAGTGGACAATGCTACAGGAGTGACACCCACGCTGAGCTCTCTGTAGACTCACATAAATTCCCTTTATCTTACAACTCAGATGTGGAGCATAAGGAGGAGGTCAAAGAGTTACTGTGTGTCACTGCCCCGCCCCTCGTCTGTTCTCTGAGCTGCTGGTGAACATCGATCCACCAATGATGCCCACACTGAGCTCTCTCCTGTAGATTCACATCATTTCAATCCCAATAATCAGCTGTACAGCATAGGGAGGAGGTCACAGATTTGCTTTATGTTACTGCCCCACCCCCCTTATCTGTACTCTGTGTCACTGT